TTTTTCAAGTTTAATAAGCCTTTTAATATTTCATACTTATAAATTATAAAAACTTCACCTATAAGCGTGACGTATCTGTTTCCATAGGTCTCAATTCCGAGAAGTAACTCATTTTGTCATCACGCTTCACATATATTGTCTTTGTTATTTTGCTTAACGATGGAAGTTTCTGATGTTACATCAGTATGATGTTATGTATATTGGCGGTGTCTCTGAGAATGTTGTGTTTATCATCAGCACTGATTGTGTTGTCCATATCTGTGGTATGTTGTCAATATATTGATTTCTATTTTTTTAAAATATTGGCTTCTTGCTGTTTCAAAAAGCAACTTTGGCTTTGGACGACTTATATTATATATGCTGCTGTCTGAGCTCTGTCTAGTTTTGTTGTGTGAACAAACGTGTGTTGGTGTTCTGTGTTTTCAGCGGTGCGAGGGTCCATCGCAGCTCCCGCGACAAAGGCAGAGAAGAGCACGTCCAAGTTGAAGCGGACGGAATCTGCCGTGAGCACAGAGCAGCAGCCTCCGTCTGTGAGTAGACTGTTTGTGGTAGGGAGTCAGAGAGAGAGAGAGAGATACGGGGAGAGAGAGAGAGAGGGAGAGAGAGAGAGAGATAGTGACAGAAAGTGACAGAGAGAGGTAATGACCAAGAGAGAGGGGTCAGACGCAGAGAGAGAGAGAGAGAGAGAGAGAGGATGAAAGAGAAAAAAGAAAGAGAGAGGTTGAGGTGGGATCAGGATGTGGTAGATCCAGATAGAAAGAATAGAACAAAGAGATAGGAAAGAGAAAAGTTTGGAACATTTGATAATATTCAGACACAGCGAAAGTCAATGATATTCCAACTCTGAAATTTTGGACTGGATAATTTTTATGTTCCTGTGCATATATATTAGTACATAACTAAGGTGATTTTCAGGGTGTATTTACACATGTTCCCTGTACTTCTTTTTTTTTTATCCCTCTTCTGTTTTACTTTTTGTGTCTTTGTTTTGCTTTCTTCAAGTTGATTTTTGACTTTTAAGCTCATACAAACAACATAGAGGTGAACGATAATGTTATCTTGTCCTCCTCTCCAGAGAAGCAGTATGCGTTCTGATGCTGAGCTGGCCGAGAGACTGGAAGACTCAAGAGTAAGTGAACGTTTATATTTCTCTTAGATGACTATAATCATTTCTTTTTCTTTTAAACGAACACCCTTTCCCCTCCAACCCCTTTTTCTTCACAATGTGGTAAACCAAAAGAAAATAAGATACCTGATTTTTTCCCCCCTTATATTTGAGAAATGTCTCCAAACCAAAAACCCAGCTGAACAAAGGAAAATCTGGGAGTCTGGCAGATTTTGGTTCAAGCCGATAGAGAGAGAGAAAGAGAGTGACAGACAGACAGACAGACAGACAGACAGACAGACAGACAGACAGACAGACAGACACAAAGAGAAAGATCGTCCAGGTCACTGTGCTGTATGTGTATAAAACAAACATAATCACCAACAAGTTAGAACGAGGATTTTTGTTTGCGTGTTCCCACAGCCCCACAAGTACATCATCCAGGCCACGGTGCTGCAGAACAGCTGGCCCCTGTCGGAGAGCAGCTGGAGATTTGTGCAGATGCTCAAGGAGATGGAGAAGAATGAACTCAAAGGTACAACGGAGAGCCAAATAGAGAACTTATGTGTGGTACAAAAGAGAACAAAATAGAGAGTTTATGTCTAGAACAGTAGAGAAAAAAATAGAGAACTTATGTCTGGTACAAGAGAGAAGGAAATAGTGGTACAATAGAGAACTTATATCTGGTTCAATAGGGTTTCTAACAAAATAAAGAACTTATGTGTGGTACCGATACAATAGAGAACTTGTGTCTTGTACAAGAGAGAATAAAAAATTGTTTCTTTCAGTCGTTGTAGCAGCATGTCTGTCTCTTTTACCCTCTCCTTTTGATACAAATGGTTCAGGACACTCATGTGCTTACTGACACACACACTTCCATACATGCACACCCACATGCACACACTCTCTCTCTCTTTCTCTCTCTCTCTCTCTCTCTCTCTCTCTATCTATCTCTCTCTCTCTCACACACACACACACACACTCACATACACACACACACACACACACACACACTCACACTTAAACATACTCATGACACATTCAGTTCACTCAAGCACACACAGACACCTCTATGTGACTGAAATCATTTTTTAGTATGACACGATGGAGACACACACAATTGCATGGAGCTAAAGACAGAAAAAATCAGAAATGTCCCAAGTTGTGCGAAGGTTAAAAAAAAAATAGAAAGAAAAATTGAGATCCCACAATATTGCCTGAAACTGGAACTATTTTCAGGAGCTATGCTATGAGCCCTGGCTTTGAAATTGCTGCAGTAAGAAAATTATTCATGATGGAGTTCAAAATAATCTGTAATGTGATGGAATTTTTAAGGGTTTTTTGCTCTGCTTTTTTTCCGTGGACAGTTTTTGGTGACTCTGACTCTGACTCAGATTCATCTGAAAGCTTTGATGAAGAAGGTAGAGCTTTTCAGAAATTTGGTTACATTGGAGTTTGATCCTCTTTTGGTTGTTTTTTTTTTTTGCTTTGCTCTCTCAACAAAAGTGAACTTTTAGACAATGTTTTATTGGATCTTTCTGGGTCTTTTTGTTTTGTTTTGTTTTGAAAAGTGTTTTGATAAGCTGTGGTTTATAAGATAAAGCTTATTCCCAGCTTCCAACAAAGTTCTTTGGAGTTTTTGGACACTTAGAAGATGAACACTGTCTTTCAAATTCTGTGCTATTTGATGGTTGAAGATTAAAGTCATTAAAGTTCAATGTCTTCATGTGGCTCTTTGGGGCATGAATGGAATTTGATATGGTATGATGAACATTTAGAAATGGGGGGATGGGGGGG